TCATTTTGAATTCGTGTAAGTCTTCTGCAATCACCACCTACACCGGTTATTTGACGCAGTGAAGAATATCACCTTGCATCTTTCAGAGCGCATTGCTGACTGGTCACAGACCTTACCTGGGACAAAGTGACGAGGAGACTTAATAACTCTCTGTTCCTCTCCTTTCATAGCAGACAAATAATAACAAAAAATGCTTTTGAAATACGCCAAGTAGTAGAGAATGTATTGGTTTCAAAATGTTCTGGTGAAATGGAGATCAGTGTCGTTTTATATCCATTCTCGTCGCTGCTAAAAGTCTTGTTTAAATAATTGTGTATTTAGTCGTTTTGTCAAAATTGACTGCCTGTTTAGTTTATACAGATTAATTGCTGAGAAATATATTCACCATAATATATCATTTATTAGCGGTTTAATGGCTTTTGCACTGAGCTACGGTGGTGTACCGAAACGAGACATATTTCTGTTTATTTTTAGGTGTGAAACGCGCCTTTTATTTGTGAGTCTCTAAAATACAGAATTGTGCTTAACTGTACCTAAGCAACAGGGAACTTCTTGAAGAACTGGTATTTAAAAGAAAGAAGAGAAAATAGAGCACTTTACTCACGGTTAACTGTGTCAAATTTAGATGTGCTTTTTAGTTTCATTTGTCTTGTGATTTAACATGACAATTTAACATTTAACATTGATACAAAATGATAGGGCTATCGAGAAACGGCGGCCGATTTATTTTACTGACAGCACACCATGTTTCATAAGTCAAATGTTTAGGGTTTAAGGCAAAATTTACAGTAGAAACTGTTAGACTCTGGACGTTGAAGTGCTAATAGATTTATGGACTCTGTTTCGTAGACCATTCAAAGTAATTAGCACATATGTTCTAAATAGATGATGGTTTTGTGAGCAATAAAGCAATTACCCATTGCATAAACTGACAGTCCTTCTAACTAAACTCCAACCACAAGCTAATTGAAAAAGTCGCTCTGGCTTCATTGTGAGCAATTAGTCTTGCTAAGTCTAACCAGTCCGAAACCAGACTAGTGACTGGTTTCTACCCTTCCTTGCATATAGGTATACATTCTTGTAGACGTAATAAAGCTCATAAAAACAGAAGAACGTCTCCACTTATCTGTTTTTAAATTAACTTTACTTTGTCCAGGTATAGGGATATTAATTAATTCTATTGTTGATTACTGGATCAGACTAATTAGAGGCACGAGTTAAGCGTTAATTATATGATGTTTAGATAGGTATCCCGTGTGACTCAGATTATCTTTGTTTTACCTGTCACTTTCGATATTTAAGAGAAGAAAAATGTTTCCGCTGTAAGTTGTAGCAGCTCTAAGTTTAGTGGCTCTGTTCAAGAAGGGGGGAAAAAGTAATATTTGCAGTCTGAATGCGTAACCTGGGTGACAAAGTATTCAGTTAAAGCATTTACATCTAATGTCAAGCTCACACAAATAAGGTGGTTTTATACTGTTGAGAAAGAGTTTCGTTTTAAGTTAGAAACACATATGATGTTCATTCTCCGCTCTTGCATGTTAGAACAGTAACTACATATAAGTGTGGTGTGTTTGTCAAGAGGTATTTTAGATTTTGGTAAACATAGATGTGAGTAATATATACAAGCTGTACTTGTATGGGGGATCTTAACAAACACCTTGAGTCACTGATTGTGCCGTTAATTGAAATGGTGTGATTTAATTTCGAACTTTTCCATTAAAATTCACAAATACTGATTTTTCAGTTTGCGATGAAAGGTGATATTGCACATGTCTATGAAAGCACGCCTGGGGTACGTAGTTTTTATCACACAAAAAATTCTTATGCTCTCTGGAACGTGTTGTATGCTTGTGGATGATGCATTCGTACTTACTGTGGTACGTTGGTGTTTAAGTATTAAAATCCTGAAGATTTAAGGAATGCGAGACTGCTCTATATATTTTTTTTTTATTTGTGGCGATTTGAACTTACTTTGCAATGTGACAATTCGGGCTGCGTGTGTTAAATATGGCAGTATATAGTGATGCGGTTCTCGCTTAAAGATATTTTTTCCCATTTCTCACGAATACCCTTTCCATTAAGAGCGATTAGATTATGTCTATTGAAAGTTGCTGATCCAGAGAGAAAAGGCATCGGATAAAAGGAGATTTCAAGTGACCTTGTCGTTCCTTTCACACCAATCTGAGCCCCCGAAAAAGCCAGGGATCAAGTCGGACAAAAGCCCCCTCCTCTTCTCATTCAACTTCCAGAGGCTCAAAGCAAAAGAGCTCGCGAAAAAACTCGCACACATTAAAGTTGCGCACAGCTTGTGTTTCGAAAAAATTGCAGTGTTGCCGGTTATCTTAATGCCTCTAATATCTCAGGGCATCGGAAAATAATTTATCAGACCCAACAAGATAAAATTCCCCTTTGTTCTGATAAGCTTAAAAAAGTTAAATATATGGAAAAGATAACATTTATGTGTTATGCATAATTAAAGTGTTTCAGATCAAATCCGCATTAAAAGTTAATACAAGTCATTTTATGTGTTTCGAAGGATCCGTTTAGAATCAAAGACGCGTGGAGTATTTTTAGATTTAATTTTAAATTCTGTTTGGATATAAAATATTTATATAGAAGTTTAAAGTTTTCCCTCCATAAAGCATAATTCATTTTGCACATCTCTTAAACTAGATCTGTCAGGTTTTGATGATGAGTTGTATTTATTTCTGGCTAATTGATTCTATCTTAGGAGTTCGTATCCAATAATAGGAATCGTTTTTTTATATATTGTGTATATATCAAAGGCTGCAGACTACACCATTAGTGTTTAACTTCCATATATCACTTGTCTCGCATAGTAAAAGCGAACACAAGTTTTAAAGTGAATTTTAAATTAACAGCGTTGAAATGGTGCAAACTCAGAAACATTGTCTACTTTTTTTTTCTCACTACTTGATTGCTGGCCGTCTCTTTCCTGCATTCCTTCTACCGAAAATAACACCTCGTGCTGCCGGCTGGTGAGCGAAATCTAGGAGTCCTGTCATGTTTTTCAAATACATGTTTTCGGTTAGAGCAACAAATCGTATTTGCAGCGTTATTTTGCGCGAGAAATCGTGGATCTTAAGCGAAAGATGCGGTTAAATGGTTTTATTTCAAACATCACCCAAGTCCTACGCGTGCAAATTGGCCGAGCAGTTCAAAGCAGATGTAAACAGACATGGGAAGGCGAAGACAATGTACATGAGATCGGCTGTCTTGGTCATTTGTAACTCTTTCTCGTGGTAGAGAAACATAAGACGTGTTTTTACAGGTGTCTCCTCGACAGAGGCCTTTAAGAGTCGTGTAAAGCAATAAAAGCCGACGTTAATTTTAACCTAAATGGTCCAGCGATTTGATAGATCCCTTTTAATTTAGCGTGTGACAACTAGATCACCAAACGAAAACCAAAACAGAACGCAAAAAGGGACAGGTCATTAAAGTACCGAAGCAGACAGTGAAAAAAAATATATAGTTTCAGAAAAAGAAAGAACTGTTTGCATTGTTGTAACCACCCACTAAACGTGTGCATGTCAGCACAGAAGTAGTAAGCTGGAACTCATGTGCATTTTATTTGAATTATTGCTTGAACATCCTTTACATAATTCAGGACTCTGATTATAGAGGTATAGCTGATCGTGCGCGTTACTCTATGTATAAAACTGTTTTGTAACTGATTGTTTTATTATTATTATTATTATTATTATTATTATTATTATTATTATTATTATTATTATTATTATTAGCCTGTTCCCTGATGCTGGCGTCACGTTTTTGGCTGGAAATATGGACTATACTTTCTTTTGTTGTGTTTACGCTGCCTCTTTAATTGAGATCGGAGTAAGTCACACAACTTTGAGATAAACGCTGTGCATACTTATTCGGTCAATGAAGCATTTATACTTGTAGTATACGAGTATACTTGTATGTCGTGTGTGGTTACAGGTAAATGTGTTGCCGTGATGGATATTATTTTTTAATGAAATACTTTTATTTCCTGCGGAGTTACATTATAAAATGTCATGTAGTCTCTTTTTTCACACTCTGGTACTTGACATAGAATTTGCTGCTGTGTTACACGCGTTTAAAGGGATGCATTCAAAGCAGTACATTTCAAATTGAGGTAAATAATTCGGGTCCCTGTTAAAGAGATTTCCGTCTCAGGCCGCTTTACGAGTTTTCCTCAGTACACAACTTTTCTCAGCAGCGGATTAAGCGTTTATGAGGGAGACAGAAAGAAAGTTAATATATATATATATTGGAAGTGTCCTGTAGAAATGTGTTTACTGTTCTCATGTACCTAAAGGCTGAAAAGATGAGCAAAACGACCGGTTAGTGACAGTCACTTGGCAATACTCTTGGCTGCGCTACCCTTGCGACTCTGTTCGGGGTCGAATTCGAGAGGAATGGAAATAGCAGCAGTCACAGAATTAGTGCAAAGCTTTGCGCCATTTACGCCTGTGCGATCGTTTACAGTCGACTGTAAGAATCGTGCTTTGAAATTAGAAGAATGCAGGTTGCGAAAGTCAGCCAGCGTTTGTCAGCTGGGCTTTGCCTGATCGTCTCCGCTTTTTTTTTTTCTCCGACCAAGTCGATCTTATTGCTGTCCTGTGGTCCGTTGACACGACAGTTTAAACAAACACGCGGCTATCGATCTTTTCATTATATGATCAAACAACAAACAACGCAGGTGAGAAGCTTACAAGTTGGAAAATATAGCTCTTTCCTGCTCTGTGCGCTCTAATGGCAGAAATAGTGGACAAATAAGAGCAGATAAAGATCTAGAGCAATAAACAACAACACAAAGGCGTGTATATAGATATAGATATAGGCCTATTGATAGAGCTAGGACTGCCTATACATTCATACAGAGACGGTTTTGTTCATATGTATTGGCTAAGGTAGTGCTCTGCTGAATCGTGATTTCTTATAAAACTGTCTCACGTGTTTGAATTGAAATAAAATCAACAAAACGCACATACTTGCCGGGCTGAAATGAGTTTTCAGGTGCATCGGCTGCTGTCCACTCTTCTGGAAGTACAGTCTGCGCCTTTCTTTAGTGTCCTACTGTCCACTTTTCCTCAGTCGCCTCAGCGTTTTCGCGTTATCCTTCTCCCGTCGTCTCTTATGCGCCCTCCTCTCTCTCTCTCGTCCCAATCTGTAGAGTAAAATCTTGATGATACACTTACAGAACTTTCCCTTTGTCTGGTTTAATCTTATTCGTTTCACCTTTTCACTAAGCAGAAGCCATGGACAGTGTATTTGGTACGCTGGTGAGAGGAGAGGAAAACGACCACTGTTGCAGAGTGAATAACACCCTTTTCCTTTCCACTAGCTGTGCATTGTACAATGGGAGCGCACTGCAATGCATTGTTCTACCTCTGCGATTTGTACATAAATAAATAAAACTTCAGGAGCTCTCCCGCACTTCAACGTTTCTCGAAAAAAATAATAAAACTACACAGCATATACAGTATGTAGGCTAAGTGTTTTGTTTTCCTGCTTCCCATGATAGATTTTTTGTTTCGTCGCTGACGAGCTATTTAAAAAAAAAATAAAGTACACCGACGATGCAATAATGATAAAAGCGCACCAATATCACAAGGATGTGATTATTACTGCTGTGCCTTTTATAGAGCCTTCTGCAAACACGCTGCTTGTTCTGGATGTTTACATTGCTTAAGGAAAGTGTGCAATCATAAAACATTTGTTGCAATTAAACTGTATAATTAACGCACTGAAATACGTAGCGAATAGAAAATTAAACCGAAACGCGAAGCTGAACGTGAGGAGATATTTCTTTAAAAGGTTTGGAAGAATATATAATCACAATAAATTATACAGTACTGTACCCTGAGATTGTGTACTGTACGCTAGATGGCACCCGGACCCAGTTGTTTTAGGTTTGGAAAGCACAGGATTCAGTAACTACGTACAGTTACAATCAGATTCCCTCATACAATCCGGTGACAACTTTCACTTGATTTTAGTAATAATCCTTACAGCTAAATATGTCGGAAGTGATAAGGATCTGTTTTAAAAGCAAGCATTTCTTTTACAAAATGGCACATTTCTCCAGTTCCACATCCGAACTTACACATTGCATTGAAACCCACCTCCTTTTCCCTGCAATTGCTCTCACGTCCGTACGTTTGTGCAATAAATAACCATTTCTTTATTTTTCTCGCGACCGTTACTTTTCCCCTTCCCGGGCCGGTGGCGAGAACGGAGGCGGCGCGGACACACCGCAGCGACTCTCCCCGCAACTCTGTGTGTGACTGGCGGGCGGAGGGGACGGTGCTGGGTATAAGCATTAATAATTAAGATAAGGGCTCCTAACAATCCGCCGGCAAACTTTCCGGGGTTCAGCCGGAGACGCTGCGCTTCGCCAGCCTGTTTATTTATTTCACGTGCGCTTTTTTTTCCCCGTCTAAAAAAAATATATATATATTATTTTATTTTTTTTGGCTATTCTATCCGGGATTTCTTCCTCTCTTTTTTTTTTTTGTGACAATAGACGACCCATACTAATCAGGTCTCAAAGTAAATAGCAGCGCAGGGCGAGCTCGATGTAAATGGTGCTTGTCAGAAGCCCCAGTCGTAGGTAGCAAGGAACGAGGACTCTAACCAATGAAGTAAAAGAGGCTTGGCTAACCTTAGCCTCTCATTTCTCTCCCCCCCAATGCAGGGCTCTGACCAGTCACTCGCCTTTGATATCACTCGCCAGCAGCCCCTCGCTTGGCTCCTTGACATGAACACCATATAAGGCGCAGCGATCTCCATAGAAACGTGTCAGTTTCAATAGTAGTGTCAAAGTTCACTATATACAGACATTCGCGCAGATACCCGTTTCGGAAACATTGCTCTGCTGGTCTTCCCGTTTAAACGCATTCATTTTTGGGTCTCTCCTCCTTGCATATTCTATTAGTTGTTTTTTTCCCTTTCTCTTTTTTTTTATCTTTTCTCTTTCGCTCCGTTCCTGCTGGAGAGGTGAAACTACAGGGGCACTTCAGCGACGTTATTATTATTTTTTTGTTGCTGTTGTTGTTGTTTTTGTTCCAGATGAGTTTTATTTAAAAGACATATATATATATATCAGAGAGAAAATTCCGATCTTCGTTTTTTTTTTTCTTCTACTTCCACCAGTCAAGACTGGAGTAAAAGGAGCCGGGAAGAAAGAAGAGGATTTATTTTCGCCATACTTTGGATCGCGTGTTTTTTTTTTTTATTTATTTCTCTGCTTCTCAGTGAATCCGTCCTGCCTACTATTAGGCTATTTTAAAGCAAACTCTGTGATCTGTAAGCTCTCGTTCCCTCATTTTCCAAGATAGCTTTCCTGAATGGCTGACTGCAATTTACCTTGGAACTGGCCTCCCGATACTTGCATATCCTGATCGGGTGCCTTTCCTCTCGCCACTTCGAATTTGAATGTATTGATCGTCCATTTCTCCCACTTTGTCTTATGTGATCGCCTGCTCCGGCTTGACTTTGCGCTCCCCGTGTCTGAAATCTCGTTTTTTCCCCCCTCTCAAAACCCCCAGCGATCCGCTCGCTTTACAGCACTTTTCGGGCCCGAGATATGGCAATGGTAGTTAGCGTCTGGCGAGATACGCAGGAAGACGTGGCCGGAGGAACTCCGAGCGGCCCGAACCCAGTAGCACAGCCGGCGAGGGAGCAGCAGCAGGCGGCGTCCGGAGCCCCGCACACTCCGCAGACACCAAGCCAGCCGGGACCCCCGTCAACGCCAGGCACCGCCGGGGACAAGGGGCAGAGCCAGCAGAATTCAGGACAGAATCAACAGCATATTGAATGTGTGGTTTGTGGGGACAAATCCAGCGGGAAGCACTACGGTCAGTTCACCTGCGAGGGCTGCAAAAGTTTCTTCAAGAGGAGTGTCCGAAGGAACTTAACGTACACATGCCGTGCCAACAGGAACTGCCCCATCGACCAGCACCACCGCAACCAGTGCCAGTACTGCCGACTGAAGAAATGTTTAAAAGTGGGCATGAGGCGGGAAGGTGAATATTTTTTTATAAAACTCTTGTTATTGATTCCCCCAGACGTGTCGCCCTGTCGTGCAGGGTGAAATAATTGTAGTTTTCCTGTCATATTTACACGCTTGCCGTCCCTTTAATTTTAAGCTTATAATGCCTTGTTTTTTTTCCCTCTTACAGTTAAAGCTGTACGGCGGACAAGCTTATCCTTTTGGGACATTAGGGGGTTTAAACAAAGCAGTCGTATTTGGACTGTTACAGTACGGTTTCGATAAGTCTCAGCTCTGCACGGTATTTTTTCTGCGTCGTGTGCATTGCTTACTTTTGCCGTAATCTTCGGATTTGTAACAATAAAAGCCCCCCATTTGACCCATATATATATATAATAATATTACCGAGGGACCTGGTTACAGTACAAAACTTGGCGGCTTTACTTACTCCGGCGTGTATTTCTCTTTATAAATCGTGTTGTACAATAGCTGATTAATAACAATACCAATAAAAATAATAATTTGTTAGATATCAGCATTGGTTGAATGTTGGTCGAGGATGCAATGGGGGAGAGGAGCGATGGCTTGTATTTCTGATCTGTTTCATGGTGAGAACAACAGCAATTCTCCTTCGATTTCACGAATTCTGCAACTTCGCAGATATGAGGCAGGAGCTCCAATCTCTGTTCTTTCACTACACTATTTCCTAATCACAACATCTGATGTTCAAAACAGATGCGAAATTTTATATGTATATAAATTCATTTGTAAAATAATTCAGTCCGTCCCCTTGTAATTGTGTCAATGTGTCTAAGACTTCTAAGGGAAAATGAGGCAGAGAAGAAACAAATATGTAGTCGTCCTTAAAAATGCAAGCATGATTGCGCTTTGCATTCAGATGGTTAATGAATCCTGTGTTTAGGCAGCTACACAGTTGTGTATTCACTGTGTATAGATGTCTGAATGACTTCCTTCTACCAGCGTTCAAGAAATCGTGCCATAAGTTCCCTTAATGTTTTCATATTGTAAGTAATGAATTTCATGAAAAACAAATTCTGAAATGTAACCATTTCTGCACAATAGCAGAGTAAATATATATATACATCAAGAGGACTGGTGCGTGAACAGGGCTAAGTTAAAATTAAATTTAAGGATCCTTTTTAACTATTTAAAAATACGATTAGAACTGTTTTATGGGTATCGTGATCAGTGTGTGGAGATTTTTTTTTGTAACGGACTGGCTGTAAAAAGGGCTTTTCTGGACGCAGGGTCGAAGCAAGACACGACGAAGGGTTTTTTTTTTATTTTTTCATCTCCTGTCCACAAACTCTGTGTTTACCGGCCCTGGATGCACATTTCCTCTCCTTTCTCTTTCTTTTTGTCAGCGGTTCAGCGAGGAAGAATGCCTCCGACCCAGCCGAACCCAGGGCAGTATGCGCTGACGAACGGGGACCCCCTGAACGGCCATTGCTATCTCTCCGGATACATCTCGCTATTGCTGCGGGCCGAGCCCTACCCGACCTCTCGCTACGGGAGCCAGTGCATGCAGCCCAACAACATCATGGGGATCGAGAACATCTGCGAGCTGGCGGCTCGCTTGCTCTTCAGCGCCGTGGAGTGGGCCCGGAACATCCCTTTCTTCCCCGACCTGCAGATCACAGACCAGGTGTCTCTGCTCAGGCTGACTTGGAGCGAGTTGTTTGTGCTGAACGCGGCGCAGTGCTCCATGCCCCTGCATGTGGCCCCTCTCCTGGCGGCGGCCGGCCTCCACGCCTCGCCGATGTCCGCGGATCGGGTGGTGGCGTTCATGGACCACATCCGCATCTTCCAGGAGCAGGTTGAGAAGCTCAAGGCCCTGCACGTCGACTCCGCAGAGTACAGCTGCATCAAAGCCATAGTGCTGTTCACATCAGGTGAGTAGCGGCAGGCGGACAGAGGGGTCAGCGCGGACGGAGGGTCGCCTTTCGGGGGGTTTCCCGAGTGTAGGAGAACGGGCTTGAAAAACAACAGCAGCCGCAAAAAATAAGAAACAAAAAAAAAGAAAAGAAAATCTCGGATTATATTTAGAAATCAAACTACTCTTGCAAAGCAGTTGAGTAAAATCGGTACTAAATCCTCTAACAGGGCCACGAAACTGTTTGGCACCAATACGTGAGGGGATGAAAAATGTTGTTGTTTTTTTTTAAAAAAAAGGTTTAGAGGGCAAAACGCGATGCCTATTTTAATAAGGAGAAAATAATTAAGACACGTAGGGGCTGTATTTACAAGTCGTGTAAAGGAAAAGGAAGGAGTGGAAAGTGTTCCTGAATGTGGTGTAGCGAGAAATACACAAGAATTCCAGCGGACATGTACATAAGGCAATAAAACCCCTCTCCTCTACATGTGCTACATTTCCAATACAAGACGGCAGCGATATCTGATACCACTCTGAAACTGTGGTTCCCTGTGAGTCCGCTCTTCATGTGGCTAATTGTGTCACATCTTAGTGTTTCTCTGCACATTCTTATCCTGTGTGTCTGCATTGACGATGGTTTTGATGTACGTTATCTAGTTTCTGACGGGGAGAAAATAACGTTTTTAATGCTTTAAGGGTAAAACGATCTCGACATTAAATAACCATACTCGATGTGAATACTGGCACATTGGCCGGCGAGGAACATCCCTCTGTTTATTTATGAATTCCAGACGTAATTTAAGAAAAACACACTTAAGGAAGTAATATTAGAATCGTACAGAAGATAACATTTAGACCCTCTATTCAAATATAAACGCCCCGCTGTTTAACTGCACATTTTGTTCGAACAAAAGTTTGTTTTTTTCTTCGAAGCGATTTCGCGCTTTCCGTTGTGTTAGAAAATGACGGCGTAATCTTACTTTTAAAAATCCGACGGGTGTAATAAAATATGGCATTTTGCAAGTGAGGACTGGCATGTTTAAATGAAATCACGGTATAGAAAGACGGGTGGCATAGTGAAGAGTTTTCCAGGCCTTAGAGAGGACCTGCAAATATTGGACCACGATTCAATAATGCTTATTTAACATATGTAGCTTCACTAAATTTTAGTATTAATAGGTAAATGGCCTTCCTTTGGTGGCAGGGTCCTTGAACGATACTTCTAGTCATCCACATCCCAGTTAAAGATCATACGCTTCAAGTATGCGAGGCTGCCTTGTTCGTGTCTTGTCAGACTATCCAGCCCACTTTGTTTTGAGTGCTGCTTCCCACCTCAATGGCAGATGCAGGTTTTGTTTTTTTTGAGAACGGCAAATTCGCAGCAGCTTTTTAATCATCAAAATAATTTTGAAAACTGTAATAATCGGACCAGTAGGTTTCTAGGGGAATGTTCTTTGTAGCAGTGTTCCAAAATGCTTCAGGAGGAAAAGTAACAAATCAAAGTTACCCCTTCAAAGGGAGAAAAAAAAATGTCATTCTCATTTTTCACGTACGTCATCTTTCGAATTTTACGCTAAATAAAATATGTGCTGCAAGCGTTCATCTGTGTAAAACGTCAGAATATCCAAACATGACTAGCTCGATTTTTTTTCCAGGGCCCTTGGAATTAGGGTTACGTTAATGCTTACTCGTAGATTTTGGCTGCTTGTGTAAATACAAAAAGTTGGAGGCAGTTGATTTGTCAAACCGTTAAAACAACAACACGAACAACAGTTCGAACAACGTTTTTTTTTGCTTAAATTCATTGTGCACGTGTGTGTGTGTGTTTGTGTATATGTGTAAAAACCTCTAAAACGTTAAAAAACAACACGTGTACAAAGAATATCGCATCCAATAAATACGGAAAGATGCGCAAGACGAAGCAATCTTCCAAACGCAACGCAGTGTTCTAATTGTGTAATCAACATTTTTATTAAGTCCTCGAAAATTTGTGTTGAATGTAACACCTAACGTCCACCCCTAGATACTACACACACGTACACTAAAGTTCCGCTTCTAACTTAACTTGTTTCGACTTTTGGCCAGGAGGGAATTTGGAGAAAGAGTTGTTTTATTCCCAGCTCTTAAACTCTCCTTGCTTGTAAGCTTTTCGCTCCAGACTGACCTCTATATAAATTTATAACACAATTTTCACACATCTGATCACGGCCTCGAGAAAGCGTTTTTTTTTCTTTCTTATGCATCACCTGGAAGTTTTCCTCTTCTTCGAAGGTGGATATTTCCAGTGGAAAGGTCGTGACCTGAATTTTAACTTTGCTTCGAAAGCACTTTAAAGTATATGACGTGACATTTTTTTAGAAATACCCAATCATTAGAAAACTAAAAATTAACATTTTACTTTCGCGATTTTTTCTGTCGAATATTATCTCCTTAATAAAACATTAATAATAAAATATATATATATATAATGTATATAATTCGCATTTTCTGTGCTGTGGTAATGCATTGAGCATTACGCTATTTACAGCTTGGAAGAACAATTTTTTAAAAACTTAATTCGAGTTAAGGAAAAGTGTCTCATCAGCTGTGAAAGCCAGACGTGTTCAAAAATCATAGTAACTTTGAATTCTGCTTAAAATGAAAACCAGCTTAATGCCATTAAAGTATTTACTGATTTGTGTATTTAAAATGTTGCCATGATTAAAATTTGGGGTACGCAGGTGGAGTGTAAGGGGGCGATGGAGTTGTTTTTTATTTAATTCAAATTGTAAAAAGAGCTTTGCAGTAGAAGTCGAAATCACAAGCACAGATACTATTCATGTCGTAGTATGAATGCATGTATATTTCCTTTATGTAAGCGTGCATTTATTATTTGAACAAAATGCTCGATTTTAACACAAGTGGATGTGTACATCTGCTGCCCTCCCCAATTTAAGGTCTTTGCAAATCACACTAAGATCTTAGCTTGGCCTCAGCCCAGTTCACAAGTTCATGGGGTTATTGAGTCTAACCATGGTGAATTATTGCCCAGAGAAATGAAGATTGGTCGTGAAGGCTTTGGGATACCATTGTGAAATGTACAATAGATTATTCTGCTTAAGAAATACACGTTTCTTTCATAAATACCTTTGTTCCGTTATGTGTTACAAACACACATATATACATGTTACGAGCGCAAGGTCTTGAACGTTTAAACGCGATACTACAGTTATTCATTTTCCCAAAAAAGGTTTTTGATGATCATAGTGTTCGCTAATTTCTTGTCAGAGAACAACAGACTTGGGGTGTCTGAGAAGACGATCTGGAAATTCGGCGGGTGGCTTCGAAATGATAAAAGAACTTTGCGTCGTTTTTGAAGTTAGCTGAAAGAGAAACACACGAAAGATCCTTTAATGTTGCATTTGCTGTTGTCATGGTATCTTTTTTCTATTTTGACGTGTTGCAAGCATGACTACTGCCTTCGCTCTGGGTAAGGCCTTTGAGTGCTTCCAGGGCCTAGTCTCTGCGCTAACGAAATGGACAGGAGGCAGGGCAGAATCGTGGAAGAGAAAAATAGTCATTGGATTATGTAAAATAAGTTAATACCGTGTTTTGAATCATTCGTCAGCCAGTGTTTCTGTGATTCAGCATTATTCTTGGATTAAGCTTTCTCCTTACATGTTTAATTCAACTTCTGTTACCCCACGAAACGACCTAGTCTCTGTCCTCAGTCCTGAGCTTAGCATCGTAGCGTGCCGCTCGTGTGCATTTTCCTAACCCGGTTGCTTACGATTTATTTCGGAAAGTAAACTGGTGTCGAATGCTTGATTTGCACACAGGCTGCATGAATTGTGCTTCAGAGGGGTGGTGTTGAAAAGGCACATGGCCTGCATGTTGTGTTGCTGTGGCTCGGTGATACCTAACAGTCGTGCTTGATGATAACCTGAGTCCTCTCTTGTGTTCTGTTTTGGCTGGTCAGACGCTTGTGGCCTGTCAGATGCTGCTCACATCGAAAGCCTACAGGAGAAGTCTCAGTGCGCCCTAGAGGAGTATGTGAGGAGCCAGTATCCCAACCAGCCCAGTCGCTTTGGCAAGCTGTTGCTGCGGCTGCCCTCTCTGCGCACCGTCTCCTCATCGGTAATCGAACAGCTTTTCTTCGTCCGCTTGGTAGGTAAAACTCCGATTGAAACCCTCATCAGGGATATGTTGCTGTCTGGAAGCAGCTTCAATTGGCCTTACATGTCCATCCAATGACGAGAAGGAGAGAGCGTTCAAAGAGGACCAAAACAGAAAGCCCCAACTCGAGCAAGAGGAGAGTCCCGCGAGTCCATATATATATACAACACACAGGCTCCTGTATATATATATATGGAGCTCAGATGAACAATTTGGAAGGACCTCGCGATTTGAGCTCTAGAGAACATGGAATCCGGACCATCGAGTACTTTTTTTTGTTTTTTGGTTGGTTTTTTTTTTCGGGAATGGGATGGATATGTTCTGTACAGTAATTAAGGAACTGGACTGACTCCTGTGTAAATCCATTCACCCACAACAAGAACATTGCTCTTCATTTTGTAAAATATTAGTCTTTATTTTCATTTTTGTAAAAAAAAAAGAAAACTTAAAAAAACGAAACACATCGTATGCGCATTAAAAAAAAGAATCAAGACTTAGCGGGAAAATTACGTTTCCAAACGATTATAAGAAATGTCCTGTGTCTATGTATCTATATCTGTTTTGTATTTTTTCTGGTTCCAAACCAGATTCCTGTGGTTCTCTACTAATAATTTTTGATATAACCTTTTGCTTCTTATAATGAGTGCGATATATGTTGTCGAAGCTATGTTCTCCAAGAATTAAAATTGAAGTGAGAATTTAAAAAAGAAAATAAAGAAATTTAGAAAAAAAACAACAACAACAGTCTACTCGCTTTGAGAATATCACCTGTGCTGTTTTAGAAATGTTTTTACACGAGTGCTACGGACCTGCGCCTGAAAAGCGCACGACACTTCCAGGACATTCTGTGGAGAGGACACAAATAAAACTTCTCTTGCTCATGATGTGTATGGAGCCGTGCAAGTCATGACACACAAAGAGAAATCAAAAGCACTTTTAATATAGCCTTTCAAATACACTCCTGTTTGTTTCGTCTTGAACTTCTCTTCTTTCTTCGATGTTTTGTTGGGTTTGGTTGGGTTTATTTTTTGGGGGGGGTCTTCAGCTGGGTTATGTCATGATGCTTTCCAGCGAGATCAGCTGGGCAGGGGGCTGAGATGGTCACTGCAGTGTTGAAACAGACAGGCAGTGCTGCCTTGCTGGCGTTTGGAAGGGTTCAGTCTTGATTTGGCACGGGGATGCTCCGAAAGCGCAAAAAAACCGAACAACCGGAGATAAGGAAGGCCCGTGTTCCTTATGCCAAATCCCCAAACAAGATAAACCAAATACCGTCTGACTCTGTGTTCGTGCTATTGCGGAAGGCCACAATAAAGATCTTCAAGGCTGTATTAACACGAGGCCTCCCCCCAGTATTCTCGAACACGGCTTTCTATCTAAAGAGTCATACCCAAGAATATGTAGGTATTTTATTTAAAATGTCGCTGTTTTGGGATTTCACATACTGCAACTTTTAGCGAGTGGGTATGTTTATAATGCAAGTCCACAGACACGCATAGGCGCAAAAGCCGTTGCACATCAGGAGAATGCGTTTCTCTGGTTGCTTATAGTTACTGGTGCATCTCTCTGAAGCTGTTTCAGCGCATTAATGTTTTATAGTTTCCCAGACAGCACTGTAAGAATACGCTCCATCAAGGGAGCTTTTTCCGAACGTATTAATAAAGCTGGGTCTTTAAATATCAAACCCCGCACAAAACAGACGAAGTAACATTCTTAAACGTTATTAATCTCCTTTTAATTTAATACTAAAAGCGCTTTAATATATATATAAGCAAGATCCTTCTACCTTTTTTAATATTTCAGCTGCAGAATTACAGCAGCTACAACAGATAGGTTGCCCTACTCAGAAATTGTGTATTGTGACTTGTAGTAGGTCGATTTCAATGCTGAATGTGATATGTTGTAACCAAGGGTGAGCTGAAACCACAGCCAGAAACAATGTGAAGTAATGGTAGCAGGAAAAAAAATCTAATTAAAATATGTGGGGATGCACGCTTCTGCATTTCTTTTCTTTCTGGAGATTGTAGTGGTTTCTCGTACACCGGAGGGGAGATGTGGAAGTCTCCACGAGCCGGGCTGGGCCGGCGCACTGACTGCACGACGAAGCCGGTGGCCCTACAGTTTCAGAAATGCCTTCTTCTGCCGTGGTGCCTCGCTCTCGGGGCTTCTGCCATACAATAACGGTTCGCTGGGATCACCCGGCCCCAGCTTAGCGCTTACGCACAAGGTTTTAGAGGAGAGAGAAGATCTGTGACTTCAAACGAAATATGTCTTGCATCAAACCTAATTTTTTGCACTGCTTAGCTGGTATGTGCCCCCAATCAAATTGCTTTCCACACACAGACCTGGCTAGACAAAATGTACCGTTCCGTGCAGGTGATAGTTCTTTATTAACTTGTTAATACGGCAATGTGTGGCGTGGGTAGATCAATTTGGAATTTGGTGAAGGCCGGACTTCCCCTTTTCTCGATCATTTCATGAAAATGTGTCATTTATCTGAAAGCGGAATTCCTTGAAAGCACGTCTTCAGTCCTTCCATGGGGAAATGGATTTGGTATTCTCTGTGAGAGTCTGAGTCTTTTAGCTCACATGGTGTGTATTAACTTGTGAGTAGTTAAGTCTAGATTTTAAAGGCGGGACAAGCCACTGAATCTGTATTTTATTTTTATGTTGCTCAGTTATTGCCTATTTCCCGATAAGTAGTATATATTCTGCATTTAGGACTTGACGGGGTTAGGATATGTTTTCTTGGCAAACTGGTAAAAAAAAATCACGAAAAAAGTTTTTACAACCCATTTTTTAATTGGAATCCGATAAAGCGAAACACTTTGAGGAGACGAAAACAAACGTAACTTTCAATGCGCTTTCAGCTTTGATCCAGTTCGAACGGGTGGTGTTAAAAACGGTTATGCAGGAATAAATATTAAATAATGAGAGTTTTCTAAAGAAGGAAACAAAACTCAATAACATTTTTCGTTACCCACCTGGACTATAGTTAAAGTTTAAAGTTTAATTTACGATGTGTTCGTTACACGATTTAATTTTGATTTGAACCTCGGAGAATAATCTGTTTTGTAGTCGAAAGAGTTGTCTCTGTCTCTACGCACAGCGAAAAAGCGAAAGGATTTTAAAGGATTATGTTCATATGGGTTTTTTTATCGTAATTTTCTCATAAAAATGTATTTTCATCTTACAAATTTTATCTGTCTTTTTGTGAGAAATCTGGATGTGTCTTTCTGAAGAGCATAGTTGACCGTTCTTAATTAAATAATATCAGCAACTCCTGCCTAAATTGTTGACAGGAGTCTTAAGAGGACTTAAGTGGAATGTTTTTAAAAGAATTTATTCGTTTTCCCTGAGGAACTTCTTAATTTACCCTGAACGCTGAGAACATTCTGTTACTACAAAAGCTAGTTTTGAAAAAATATCAAACTATAGTCCAAGCTTTGTGCCATATGTTCTTGATGAAGAAAACATTAATTTGTTATGAAAATGGCAAAACACCACACCCAGCTGCGGAGTTAATGAATTCCGTAATCATCTGGCCTATTGGTACCTGTTAAATGTATCGGTGTTGTGTTACACACGTTTCCTGAACAATTACGAACATTTTAAAGAGACTTATTATAACCCTGACAAAATGCTTGCTTTTTTAAAAAGTCTACTTAAATACATAATTGGTTGTCATTTTCTGTTCCAAATAACAATTTCCTAGACATTTTGCCAAAATTGCTTTTGGGATTCACGGCTATATGTTTAATCTTATGGTGTGGTACTTTTGACACAAGTTATTTCAACAATGTTGCTAAAATGGCGGTTTTCCGAGTTTGTTGCGGGTTGTTTTGAATTGCCATTTTTGCGTTTTATAGTTATACACTAAAACCGTTTTAATCAGCATCCTCCTGTTCGTGTGAATGAATTGCTAAATATGTTGAGCTTCACTTTCCGCGACAGATCTTGAATGCACGTGCATTTTACTGACGTGTTGTTGTGTTCGACCCCACGTGGTTAAGTTTGTCTTGAGTAATGAAAAATCATGAGAGCGTTTGGGAGTTTCATCAAACAAGTTGCACCTATTAGAATTCTTATTGGGGCGTTGTTAAATAGCAGCCTGCGTGCCGATGTTTCATTCTTAAAATGAGTTAAATAACCACTTACCTTTGTCTTGTTCTATTCATCAAACTGCAAGTCGCGGATTCCTAACACGGAACTATTTGTTTGCTTACAGAAGCAGCTGTGAGCAATTTCACGTCTGAGATATCTGTCTGAAAGCAAATCACATCCATTTCTCCCACTTGTCAGGGAACGTCTTTTCAAAACCTCGGGCAATGAAGGGTCCACACCTCAGCTATCCCAAAGCGCCATTATGTTTACAGTCACCCACCAACGCAAACCACATTCAACTCAAGTGGACTGCGGGTAGCAAGCTACAAGATGACATGCACTCTGAAACTAGCAATTCCTCACTGCCTTGGCTGTTGATGAAGAAAATACACGGATACCAAGCATACAAACTATATTTAAGTTGCGCTGAATTCTGAATTTCTTGCTTCTAAATCAAGTGCGTGTGGCACTTGATAGATTTTAAATATTGTCAATACAGTTGGTTTGGTAAATATGTGCCTCATCCTCAAAGCCTGGACACCTCAAGAAGAAATGAGAAACGGCCCTCCGGGGTCTGCATAATTATTTAAATTTTTGCTACCCTCGATGCACCAAATTTCGAAATATCTTTGAGACAGAGGTAGAACGGCTCAAGAGAAAATGCATGTAATCCATAACATGATTCATTTGTTTGGGCTTGAATAATTTTGATCATTTCTAGATTAAATGCACATTAAAAAAAATGCAATGCTTCTATGTACAGGGGCATAAACGTAGTCGAGCCATTCTGACACAGAATCGCTGTTAACAATCTCAATGATGGCTGTGTAATTGTGTATATACATCTCCTTGTCCACAGACCTCTACGTCAAGCTTAAAGCAATGGATCAAATCCAAAACTACAGGGTATAAAATATCCCCAGTTGTAAACGAAGGAGGGGTGAGCGGGGTGCGCTTCTCCAAGAGAGAGAGAGAGCGGACAGATCGCTGCGTAAGCGATCCCTTTGTGTTGATTTAGGAAGACGTTTGCTGTATATAACGTTCAAGGCTGATAATATCATTGCTCGGCCAGATAAATAAAGCATTGGCCAAACCATCGGGTCAGCTATCGATCCTCTGTGCTCGCGGAGAGAAAGAGAGAGAGAGGGGAACGAGAGCCGCAGCGCCCTGGAGAGGCAGAGAGAGAGACCGGAGAGCGAGAGAGAGCTCCAGCCCTCAGCCTGCTCTGCTCTGCTCTCGCTCATTAGCATTCCTTACTCATGGACAGACACTGACAACTAACAGAGATATCCAGCTCAACAGCGTGCACTCTCTTCTTTTGTCTTCATATCCTTCATTTCAACGGACTGCTTTCGTCACAGCTTTTCAAAGTGAACTTTAATTCACACATTAACAGGGAAAGAGAGCGTGTACATATTTCTTATACATGGATGTGCGGTTATGTGCACGATACGCTTCTGAAATGGTGCAAATACATATATGAGAAATGAACAAAGGTCTTGATTAATAGCAGTCATTGGGGAATTTGTACATAGTCTGTTTCTCTGCATGTATTTGTGTGTTTTAGTGTGAGAGAGAGAGTGCGCGGTTGTAACAATGTGTAAGAAACAAAACAGTGCAGATATCTTTTTCATTTATACTCAGCCTGTACAACTTTATAATTCTGCCAAAATGCCACTGTGATTGTATTTTGCAATTATGTGTCCATTTATACTGTGAAGATGGAGGAACTTTACTCCTCCAGTTGAGTCTTTAAAGCCCCAGTTCAGGATCGTTCAAAGGATTTCAGTGCATCTTTTATCAAAGCAAGAAAATGGATCTGAGGTGATTGTGGAGCGCGTGTGAGCAATAATTATGACACACTCCAGATCTATTTAGGTCTGTTAATGCTAGGGAGATTTTTTTTTACAAAGAGCATTAACGTCTATTAAAGCAAATTATAAAATGGTATCCACCATAAACAGAAAACAAAATAATAGTAAGATTGATTATTTGTGATTTTGCCATTTATGTATTAAATGAGCCTACTGATAGTTCTTTCAAGATAGCTCTTGGTGGTGGAATGTGGTCAGAGCAAACCCACAGACTGGTTAAAGTCGCGCTGTACACTGACGAGGGAGTTAAAATTAACTCGGAGGGCGCGCATTCCCGAAACGTACAACTCGTCCAATGCTGACAGCTGTTTATCACTTAGTAACTTCTTTCCAAGTTTTTTTTTCTTCCTCCCAAAGCCCCGTTTCTATCTTGCTTTGTTGTTTTAAAATATGCATGTCTCTCCCGAATGCCAGTCACGAGTCCAAACTTTGTGTCCAACCTCCCACATGAAATGATCCTTTTATAGGGAGCCCGATATGTCTCAATCTGCACAACACTCAAAGCCTCTGGGTATGGGGTACTAGTCCTTAAAAAAAGTCATATTTATTCCTGCAAAGTGGATTTTTCCATAATGATTCAAAGGTTCAATTAAGCGAGAAGAAAAAAGCTGCATGTTACAAAATGCATCCAGCGACCGAATGGGAAGTCTACGCGAAGAAAGTAAGATTTCTGCTTAGTTTTTTTGCCTTGTTTTGTTTTCTCTCTGAGTATGTGTGTCTTTGAGTGACTGAATAAACTGGAGAGAGAGAAAGGAGAAGGGGGAGGGAGATAGTCGTGAGGGAGAGAGGGAGAGGATGCGTCTGTGCGTGTGTGTACGATTGGACTCGGGCTGTCATTAACTACAAATTAATCAACACGTGGCATTTAAAGTTGAGAGAGCTATTTTGTGTGTGTGTGTGTGAGTGTTTATACCGGTGAAATAAATCAAGATTTCGAAGAGCGAGAGCAAAGAAAGAGAAAACATTGTTTGTGTTTTTTTTTAAACCGAAAACGTGTAGCACAAGGTAACTAACTCAGGCTCGCGAACAGAGAAAGCGAGGTTATAGGTCCAAAGGGCTGAACACATTTTGCAAATAAACTAGAAACGAGAAGGCGCGAGGCAGAGTCGTATATTGGTTTGCTCTCTCCTTCAGTTGTGTACTCAGATTTGGAAAAGGAATTTTCCTTATTTGTCTGCTTGCAAACTCACCAACGGCATTCTCGGTAACCCTTTCAGTCTTGAAACACTGACAAACCTACTGATCTCTGGCGAATTACACCTTCAGTGAGAAAATGAACCTGAATATATGAATATGTGTGTATTATAATGCTTGTTAAGGAACTTAGGAGATGCAGCTTAATAGTAACATTTTCCCTTTAAATCAATCGTCCTTCTGTCAACGCAGTGACGTCAACAGTTTTGGAAGCTTTGGCGGAAAAGGTAAAGTTGCCGCACACGGATTTATTTATTTATTTCTAAAACTCCACATTTACATATTCCGATATTCCAACATATGGAAAGCTAGCAACCCTGGGCTTATATACCTGATAACGCACTGGCTTTCAGCAATATTTACTGCTTCTCTTCTAATACACACCAGATGGTTTGCGAATGTGCTACCGCAGCCAGCTCGCGTCTCAATTTTATTCAGCAGCATTTTGTTGCAATTACACTCCATGCTGAGACCAATTTTATTGGTGACCTATTTTTCAGATTTGCAGCATTTTATGTTAAAATTCCCTTCTTGGCCTCCCCTGTACAGAGCAATGTTCCACGCTAATCAGCAACATTTTCTCGTTGGATATTAAGTTAACTTTTATATGGAAACCATTTTATATGCACCTACAGAACCCAGTCACCGTGAGCTTTAAAACATGTATTAGCTGAAAACATTATTCCAGGTTGGAGACTGAGTTTATCAACCAGCCGAAAGTTAAAAAGGGGAAAAAACGTTTAAACAAAATAGTACTGCCAGGTAAATATATCTATTAACTAATTAGAAGCAGGCCTTGTAATCAATCGTAAACAAATGAAACTGCGACTGTATGTTTGTTTCAGAGTTTTTCAAAACACGACGCAAAACAGTACTGTCGATATTATTTTATGCATGAAACGTCACAAAAGAGTGAACTGATCCCAAGTAAACGATTCATATTTTTAATGTTTAAGACATGAAAGCATCACTAAATGACATTTCAAAGAGGATTACATGTTTTGGAAGGGGAAAAGGTGCTTATTCTGCTTTTATTGTAGCGTCTTCCCCAAGCCTCCCCATGGTAAAACCACAGATGCTTATTTTATTGTTATAATTTATACTATAGTTATGCAGAGATTAATATGTCTCAACTAACAGCCATTTAGCAAATAATAGAGGCGTTCTGGAGTCTTTCCAATCTTACACATGTACTGGGCCATAAAATGATAACGTGAAAAAATTAACATCTGCTTTCCTGAAATTAAGTGTGCCAAGTAAATCTTTTATGAACCAAGGCTCCTTTTAAAAAGAAATCCGCACTGTCAGACTGCCGTACATATGTAATGCTTATTTATATTAAAGCAATTTATTTGTAAGAATTTTTTTTCTTTCTAACCTTTAACTCTTGAAAGTGACATTACAGTAGTTAGACAGTCTTTGGATTGTTCTCTACAAGTCCCGAACACGGGCATTTAAAACATTATTAATAGACGAATTTGCTGCGATGAAATTGCACACCGGGGCAGACAACCGTGCAAGCGCAGTGAATGATGTTGTGGTTAATATTGTTCTAATTTAGTTTTTATTTACCTAATTTCTCAGCATGGCTTCTATTTTTCTTTATAATGAATGACTGAAACGTTTCGTTCAGGGAGATTTTTCATTTCTGTCCCGTGGAAGGAATCTAGATTTTGACAGCAGTATTATCTCTTCTTCATGCACAAGGTCTGGCTGGAAATGTTGATCGCGTATATATATATAGATATATAGGTGTGTGTGTGTGTGTTTTAGTCCTGTTTTCTTGCATTATAAGATACGTTTTATTGCAGATAAATATACGTTAGACCTGTCTTGCAGCCCGCGAAAACAAAAATCAAGCAAGGATGACACTGAACGTCAACTCGCACGTCTTCAACGCAAACCGTCGCGTAAATCTGTAAAATAAGACGAAGCCCTAGCAGGCTGAATCGTACGAATAATGAATGCAATATTTCATATAATAAATCTGGCAGGCTCAAATATAATAATTGTATTATTCTGTGACAAAGATAAACTGACAACTTTAAAACGCATAATGCACTAATACTCATCCGTGGTGAATGCTGGTCAGCCATATTCAAAGTTAATTCATAAGAAGTGAGATGGCACTAGCAATGTTATAGCAGTCGATAAAACGCTTTCCTGGAGTCCAAGCCCCGAGCGCTGCAGGGAGGACATCACTAGCGGGTTGCTGGCACTTTGTGGCCTACATACCGGCGCTCTGATTATAGAAGTGCCTCCTCTCCTTCTTAAAGAAGCCGAATCTCTCATCTTTGCTTCATGTTGCCTTTAAGCCAGCTTGGATGGCGAAATTGTATGTGCGCGCTCACGTGTGTACGTCTCTGTGTGTGTGTGTGTTAAAAGAGAGAAAAGGAGGGGGAGAGGGAGATAGAGAGAAGCAGAGAAAGAGTGGGGCAAGGGAGACTTGTGTTGTGAGTGTAAAGGGAGGGGGTTAACGGAATGGCCTTTTCTTTCTGAGTGACATGACCCCTTTCCCTTCAAAGACCAAGCAGAAATAAACGCTCTTAATCTGAATGGGCGAGTTTTGCTGGTTTTCAGATCTATTCTCTTTCCGAAATGGGGATGTATTTTGTGACAATTAGAATGCAGGCCGGCTTAGACGTTTTGAGAATTTGTGGGTGCCTCAAATATTCCATTTCTAAAACAAATTATTTTTTGTTAGTGTCGTCTCTTTCCACCCCCCACCCCTCCCCATTTCTACCCCCCCACCCCCCATGTGAGCTCATTTGCATTCGTTGATGATATCAATAAAGAATGGCAGGCATCCTTTTAGCCGGGAGAGGGAGGGGGAGGGGGAGGGGGGGGTCTGAGGTGGTCGCTCTGGACGGAAAGTGGACACAGCCAGGAAGGACAGCCGCGCTTTTACGACGGGGCGGTGGGGAGGATTGAAATCTGGAGCAATTAGGCTCGAGGAGCGCCAAGGAATACCTCGTTATTCTTCAAAGAAGCGCTGTCACATCTCCACTCCTTCTAAAGATCGAGAGATAGCGCGTCCTTATCAGAGCCGCGCTCGGGCCGGTCTCGGCATAATGCCGGGTCTAAACGCGAGGGAGCGGGGTCTGGGGATGAGACAGTCGGCACCTTGGCAGCTGTGGAGAACCGTGAAGTGAAATGAGGAAGGGGTTTGGAGGAATGCAGTGTTGTATGTGTTCACAAGCAGAAATACTGTTCATTTCCGAACCATACATGCGTGTGTGTGTGTGTGCCACGCGTGTACATGACGAAGATTTCGGTCAGCTCCTTCGCCTGTGTGCAGATCACCCTTTAGTGTCAAGACTCTCTGTCCCGACGCGGCGTGGACGTCCTCGCTCATTTTCCCTCACGGGGTTTGCGAGCAGGACGGTCCAGGCACGATGTGAGGGTCTGGAGTGCGGGAAGGAAAGGGGTTACCCGGTACAGCACCCAAAATCCAAACTAAGAGGCAAGGCAGCGATCCTGCACTCTCACGGTTCTCATCTGCACTTCAAGGCCACACCAAGATGCCCCAAATACGGGTGATCCCCGGGCTCCCCTGCGCACAGAAGCGCTTTGAGTTGAACACAGGGGTACCTGGAACACGACTGTGTAAAACACAGTTCCGTGGACCTTCATCTACACGCCTGTTCTTGCACGAAATGAGCTTTGATTTATTTCTCTGAGTGGCGTAATCCATTTTGTGGGCGAAAAGACGCTTTTGCCATTTTCGCAATGCAACTCCTCGAGCTTCAGATGAATAAATTATTAAATTACATCGCGTTGGATAAAATTACCCCGTGTATTAAAAAGCCGGAGTTAATCTTTCACAAAATAATTTGCATGGAATAAGTTATGTTATATATCATATATAGCTTGCATATGGAAGTGATTATTTATCACGGTCTAGATATCTGATGCTTCTTTCTGTATTCTCCGTTTACGCTAAGTGACGGTTCTCGATTGAACAACATAAATATATATTTGTTTTCAAAAAGCTGCAGGTAGAAATTCAATACATAACTTTGAACTTCTTGGATGTCCCGTGCCTGTTTTATTGGGATTTCAAACCAATAATAAAAAAAAAATAAGAAAAACTTCTTAATGTCTGTTGTATATTTTTATTTAATGAAACGTACAACTCTTCGAGAATATATTCTGAACAGGTTAAATGCGAACAAAGTCGGATTCATGTTTTTTCAGGATTAGGGTAATATATATATATATTAACTGTTCTGCGCATATGGGAGATACGGTCGGCAATAAGAATGACGATTTACAAAAATAGTCTCCAAATACAAATAAAATACAATAATAGCAAATAATGGTATAATTTAAGTTTTGTTTATTCATCGTATAATTATTCTCTGCTTGATCGTTAGTAAATAAAGGCTCGAATTCATAGTCAAATAGTTGCCTTGCATAATTTTATACTGTCATTGAGTAAATAAGTAATAATTAATAATAAGGCAT